AAATAAATAAATAAAAATAAATAAATGAAGAAAAAAAAACTAAATTAATAAAATAAAACCAGGGTGTCCGGAGGAAAACAACTAAAACCTCTCCTACAAACTGAGTGCTGAACCTGCCCAGAGAAACAACTGTTTTCTATTGTTTTATATTTCTAGTAGTTGTTTTAATATGTTAACTTTTACTTCATTTGGTTCTGTTTTAAATTATACAAGTTAATTTTTATTTATGATAAAATACATTTTAATATACTTTAAATTACAACATTTTATTATTCAATGAAAACAAATAAAAACTAATTTATTTCTACCACTCCAGTAAAAGTTAAACGAATTTTACAGTTTTCCTTTATTTTTTTCTACTTTTGCCGTATATTTTTCATGTATTAATAAAATGTATTCTCGTAATAATTCAGTTTTTATGATGTGCTGACGTGGATCTTTTGTCACTACATGAAACATTTTCCCAGATATTTTTTTTCTGGAGTTAACAGAACATCTGAACCTTCATCTTCTGACAGAAACTGACATAAACTGTGAGTCTGAACAAAGAAGCTTCACAGATKTTCAGAACAAAGAAGCTTCAGAGCGAGCTGAAGGAATTATTAATCTGAGGCACGGCCTCGGACACGCACAACTTTCACCCACTTCACGTGATTTACCGTGCATGAATGTGATCATTGTCTGCACATGAACTCAGCTTTGGTACGTTGAGGTTTTCTTTGAGGCTGAGGAACGTTGAGCCGTTTTGACCCCAGCCAGCAAGAAAACAGCCTGAAGCAAACAAACAAACAAACAGAAAGTAACTGTTGGCACCTCAGAGTCCACAGAGGCAGAAAGCAGCAGCGCGACACAAAGCCCTGGATCAGCACAAACACAAATGACAGACCACTGTGCTAATAGAAAAAAAAAACCTGAACGTCGGCTGATTATGGGCTCCTCTGCYAGGCCTCCTGCCGCTTTCAGCAGGAAGGAGATTAAGATGTGTGGTTTTCTGAGAAGACCTAAAGGGGAAATCTTATTTTTTATTCTTTCTGACTGATAACAAGCCTGAGAGTTTAACAGACGGGGAACTGATGAGTTTGTCACAGTTTTACTGAAGAAATAAACGATTTAAAGTGCCTGTCACATCAAATTTTAATAATATTATAAACGCATATTTGGAAAGATAACATTAACAAAATATTGCTAAATAAATTTTCACGCTGCTGAGATATTCTCATGTTCAGTAACAGGAAGTGATGTCATGAGGAGAATGTCTGCATGTAAACAGAGCTTTGCTACAATATTTAACACAGGCTGCAGAGAACCTGTTTCTTTAGATTATCTGGAGTCTTTCAGAGATGAAGAGCAGTGAGCCAAAAGACCAAAAAAAGGAAAGAAATTTCATTTTTTTGTTATATAAGATTCCTGGAGTCACACTGTTATTTTAAACATTTTTGTGTTGCTTTGTTTTATTCGTTTACTTGGCTCAACTGTGAAGCATTTTGGTCAACTCATGTTTTTATGGGCTAAATAAACGAGATGACATTGACTAAAATTTACACGCCTGACCGGAAACTTTTCATTAAACTGTCAATAAATTTGTGTTATGTTCACCCGCAAAACCTAGAAGCAATTTATCATGTAAATAAACAAATAAAAACATGATTAAAACTTATTTAAATGAAGACAGCTGCTGTCTGATAGAAATCCCAAAAGAAACTCGATAACTTGTTTACTGAAAAAATTAACAAATTTGTTGTCTTCTTCCAATTTTTTACAAATTGAAAATTTATTAAAAGTCACAGGAAAGTAAATTATATATTTGTTAGCAAAAGTCATCAAAGAGAATTGTCTCTTACCTCTTCTTGAAGAGTAGTCTCAGTTTGGAAAGCAAATGAAAAACCAAAAGGTTTTGTTGTAAAGTCGGGGCAACCCTCGGTTTGTTGGTAATCTGTTAAAAAGTAAAAAACACTTTGACTTCTTTTGTTCGTCGGAGATAAAACCAAAGAATATAAAACGTCTCTGACCTGAGTTAAGTTTCCAAACATTTCTTTGAAACTGATCAAACTATTTTAATAAACCTGTTTAACGTAGTTTAAGACCGTCTCACACTTCAGTCCTCTTCAAGCAGCCCTTTGGGTAACAATCTTTAAAAAACCTTTTACTTTGTCTGCTGTCAACCGAGGCGTGAGACAGAGACAGTCAATAAATCACTCCCGGTCTTTATGGGCCTCTTTATTCCAGGAGTCAAACAGAAAAGTCATCTGAGAGAAACTCTTCGAGTCAAGATCCCAGAAAAAACACACTGCTGCCATTAAAAGAAGCTTTTATTGTTGGAAATGATTTCCTCTGAAATGACTTGTTCCTCAAACCTCCTGAAATCAGAGTTAAAGCTGGTAAATAAAGGAAAACCAGTCTTACAGTAACTCACATTATTTTGCAGCTCTTAAAGCTCAGTCCAGATGCTTTGGACAGGATCAGGACAGAGTCCAGTACCTGAGTCCAGATGACAGGGGTTATGAAAAGCCTGGTAAACCTGGTGTCTCCGGTCCTCATGAACCCATCAACTCCATTTTTACACCAATCAAACCCACAGCTATGCTAATTCGCTAACAGGGGAACTAGCTTCTTATTTAGCAGATTAGCTTCACAAGTTTAAAAACGTCTACTTTAATGCAGTTTATCTGACATTAAATAAAAACTATTCTCTCTTACAAGCAGTACTGGACGTGACAGACGTGTTAGCATCTTTAGCAGCTAAACTTCAAACTTAGAGCATCAAAACTTAAATAAAATAACATTTAACACTATTAACAAAAATACATATCACAATTAAACAGAGTTTTAACTCTTGTTTGGATTGGCTGATTTGACACATTTGATCCCGCCCACCTTTAAATTAAACCAATAAAAAACAGCAGGTTTGAGTCACTCCCACCTGTCTTCAACTGGAAGGAATCTTAGCGGTAGCGTTAGCTTCCGCAATTTTTTTTTATCCGTTTAGCAGTTTAGCGTAAGCATAGCTAAGTTTCTTGTTTAGCGGATTCAGATTAATGAAGCTAGCTCYTTTTTCTCCGACCAAAGCTTTCCTGATGGCTCAGTTCAATCTTTTTTTGCGATGAACCAACAATTCGAGGACACATTAGCTACTGAGCCAAGTCCTCCAGCTGTTTCAGAACCGGGTCAAACATGCCGCAGCCTCACCTTCATGAGCTGAAAGAGGAGGGGAGTGAGGTTTTAGCTGTGGTCTCCGCTCAGCTAAAAATATGAGCCGAAGCCTGACCTGGGCTGAACTCAAACAATCAGGTAACAATAATTATACTAGAATAAAAACTCAACCTGTATTTTTCATTAAGAGATGCTGGCAGCTTGTCGGAAATAAAACGTCTCATTACAGTATGAAAAAAAAGAAGCTCCGGGGCGAGTGGGTTTTTGTTTTTGAGCCGAGAGTTTCTTCATCGCTGGCTGCTTTTCTGCTCAGAGACAAAGAAATCCATCTGGAATCTAATTTTACACAAATGATTACTGCTGCCGTCGGAGCGAGTGAGCGCCGTGAAAAAGATAACGACACCGTTTAAACAGTGACAACCTGTTGAAACGTTAAAAACCAGGAGAAGAAGACGAAGAGACGAAGACATCCTTGCAGACAAATGTCCCAGATCCTGTCAGAATTTAAAGTTTAAAAGTTTTACAGATTATTGATTCAGTTCAGCCTGAAACTGATTTTATTTCTAAAATAAAGTTTCATTCAGACGTCCAGGAGCAAAAATACTACCAGGTTTGTCCAACAGAGACAAGTTTCTCTCCCATCACAGGGACATGTGAAAATGTCTCAGTCCATCACAGAGACACCTGGACAGGTCTCAGTCCATCACAGAGACACCTGGACAGGTCTCAGTCCATCACAGGGACACCTGGACAGGTCTCAGTCCATCACAGAGACATCTGGACATGTCTATCCAACATAGAGACACCTGGACATGTCTCAGTCCATCACAGAGACATCTGGACATGTCTCAGTCCATCACAGAGACACCTGGACATGTCTCAGTCCATCACAGAGACATCTGGACATGTCTATCCAACATAGAGACTTGGACATGTCTAGTCCATCACAGAGACATCTGGACATGTCTCAGTCCATC